TAAATCTCGGAAAGTGCTGCTTGAGCATGCATGACTCAGTGTGTTAAGTTAATGCCCACTTTAATTTAGAGTACTGAGCTTTTGACCTCCATGTCTTAAATTTTTATCTTTATCTTATCTGCATGTCTATAACTTTACTCACGTCTATCCAATTTTAATGTAATGCTTGGATTCATGTGTAGGAGTTGGTTGCCCAAAGCCACTAATGATACCTGGTGGTCGAAAATTTGTCTGGCCAGTATTCCAAAAAGTTCAAAAGTGAGTGGGCCGGTTGCAAGAGCTAACCTAACCCTCAAACTTTCCATGAATTAATCTTTAATAATACTGTTAACATATTTATTCTTTTACAGGATTTCTCTCAACATTATGACTCTCATTATCGAAAGTCCGCGAATATATACGCAACTTGGTGTGCCAATTACAGTTACTGGCGTGGCTCAGGTAATTTACATCTTTTTTCGCATCCATGTGATAAAATATTGATTTAAACTTTCTCTTTCTAGGTAAAGATACAGGGTTCTAGCAACGAAATGCTAGAAACCGCCTGTGAACAATTTCTTGGTAAGGATGAGGATGAAATCCGCGAAATTGCCAAGGAGACTTTAGAGGGCCATCAACGTGCGATCATGGGCAACATGACAGTCGAAGAAATATATAAGGAAAGTCTTATATACGTCCTATTTCTCGTCTAGCGGCTTCCTGCTTGCATTTTATTTTAGTTTCATGTTTACTATATAATTAACTTTTCATCCCTTTCCTTATAGGACAGAAAAAAGTTCTCAAAGGCTGTGTTTGAAGTTGCAAGTTCTGATCTTGTGAATATGGGGATCAGTGTAGTTAGTTATACGCTCAAGGACATCAAGGATGATGAGGTAATTTTATTTAGATATTTGTAGTGCACGATCCCCTGAGCATATAGAATGATTTTTTAATTTCATGATTAAAAAAAACTTTAATGGCTGCCATGATCGGGGCTTATTCTCTATTAAGATGTTAACCTCAATTCCATGCAGACATTGGAGCTACTGAATTACCTCAATATCATAACAGTTTAACCCACATATTTAGAATATAATGTACGACAACCTCCTCAGTATGTTTTTTACTTTATTG